TTGAGTCCTGGACCTGGCAGCTTGCTTTCTCACTTTCCATCTCTCTCTATCACTCTGTCTCTTTCTTCCTCTCTGGTCAAACTAAAAAAAATTAAAAGTCAAATAAATTAATTCTTCAAAGAAAAAGACAGTTGCACAATAGTGTATGTTGTAAACCCTATTGTTCTGTGCAGAAAAATCCAGGATATGCAACATTAATTTGTTAAAACAGATATTTATTGAGTTTATACTGTGTGCCAAGCAGTGAACTGAAAAAAGAAAAAAAAAAATCTGCCTTGTAGAGCTTAAACTTTCATTCAGGGAGATGCACACCAAACATAATAAACAGGAGAGCTACCTAAAATGGTAATCTTTTATAAGTACTAAGGAAAAATAATGGAGTGAATTGTGATAACTTGTGAGACCAAGTGTGATAGGTCCTAGGGGAGGGGATGGGGCCTAGTTTTTACTTTACTTACTTCTGTGTTACTCACATGAGTATGTATTACTTTTATTATTCTTTGAGAAATTAAAGGGTTTCCCCATTTTTTCCTGTAGCCTCAACTTCTCTCAACCAATAAGATCTTTCCTTTCTACTATTCAGGAGTTTTCTCTTCCATCTTAAAAAAATAAAAACAACATAAAGTAAAATCCTCCCTTATCCTTAAATCCTCTCTGGTTACGGGCTGATGGACCTCTCTCCTCCTGTTTATGCCAAAGTTCTTGAGAGTGTCCTGTATGTTCAAGCCCCTATTTTGTTTTGTTTTGTTTTGTTTTGTTTTAAGAGAGATTTTTTTGCTATAGGGCACATGTACTTACAGGAATGAAAGAGAGAGACAGACAGAAAACAAGAAATCACCTGCCCTGGGGAGATGGCCATACTGCTATCCCTTCTCCTCCAATCTCCTCTTGGTATCTTGAGTAGGCATGCACATGCACCTGGCATGAGTTAAAGCTACTGGCTCCAGAATTCGAACCATGATCTACTATGTGGGAGTCCAGCAATGTAACCATTATGCCATCTACTTGTCTCAGGTCCCTGGGTTTTTGCCTCCCTCTCCCTCCTCCACCTCAGCCTACCTGCTTAAGTCCTCCATCTTGCTGAACGTGCTCTCACGTCATTGATGAGTTCCAAGGGCATACCAGCTATGCCTTTTACTCTGATGGTCCATCTCACGGTCCCCTGGGACCAACCCCTCCCGTCTCTGATGCTCTGACAACTCTTCTCTCTCTGCCTATTCTTCTTGTGCAACCTCATCTACCCTCATAGTTCACTGACCTATTTTCTGGTCTATTCCAAATTTAATTGAATTTTAATAAAGATCGAAAGCTGGGTGTCACCCATTGTGGAAATGTTTCTACTTTAAAAAAATTACTATTATTATTATATTTTTATGGTTAGGACTACTGGCACATGCCATCTCCTGGCCTGTGTGGTTGAGCTGGGGATCTAGTCCTGGCCTTCCATGTGGCTTGGCCTTTCAGTAGCAGCATCTTAGCAGTACGCACAACACCTTGGCTAAACCTCCTGCTAATTTCTAGAGCACTGGCACCAGGGACTGGCACTTAGGAGATACTCAATACATGTTTAAAAGTAGGAAGGGGGAACAGCAGTTGGTGTAATGGTATGTCGCTAGACTCCCATGTAGTTGGCCAAGGTTTGAGTCCTGGACCCAGTGGCTTAAACTCAAGCCGGGTGCATGTGCATGCGTGCCCAGGATCCCAAGAGGAGAATGGAGAAGGGATTGAGGTGTGGATAGCCTCCCTGAGGGGTAATTTCTCGCTTTCTGTCTCCCTATCTCTCTTTTTCTGGTGAGCACACACGCCCTATAGCAAAAATCTCTCCAAAAAAAAGAAATAGGAAGGAAATGGAGGGGCAGCAAGTGACATAGTGGTTAAGGTGCTAGACTCCCACATGACTGACCATGGTTCAAGTCCTGGATCAGGCCAGGTGCATGTGTATGCATGCCCAACATTCTAAGAGGAGAAAGGAGGAGAAGGGATTGTGGTGGGGCCAGCTGCCCAGGAGATTATTTCTCAGTTTCCTCTCACTGTCTCTCTCCAGGAAGTGCATGTACTCTAGGGCAAAAAAAAAAAAAACCTTGAAAAAACAAAACAAATAAACAAATGAAAAAAACCAAAGGAGAAAGCAAAAATTGACTGAGGCACATGGCAGAGATAATATCATGGGTATACAACACTGCTTCATTTTTCTGTGGGACAGAAAGAAATTGAGTACTGCTCAGTTACTTTGGATCTAAGTGGGTTCACAGGACTAATTCTGGATAGCAGAATGGGCAGTAGTGATGTTCTTCACTCTCGGGTCTGGCCATCAAACATCCCATGTGACTCACATGCTCTCTTTTCTCATCCACTGGAAGTAATAGATTTCAAACCTTGGAAGAGAACTATTCATATTTGGAGGAATTGGATTTATCATTCTTGCTTAGTAGAAATCCATGTAAGAGAGCTGTGTGTCCTGGGGCATCCATATTAGACTTTGCATAATGAAGAAATAAACTCTTGCTAGATTGGAGATGTTTGTCATAGCAGCCAGCATTAAGTAATATGGAGTTGTTTGTTGTAGCAGCTAGCATTAATATAGGCTTCAAAATACAGTTCTTCCTATGGCATGGACAGCACAAAATGATGCTGCTTGACAAGAATAGGTATTCTTAGGCATGAGTACAGGAACTAATCAGCATTGTACTGGGTCGTCGGAAAAGTCATGATGTATTTTTCTATGCAAAAATGTGTCATGACTTTGGAAGAACAAATATTTGACCATTTTAGTATAGGCGTTTGGAGAGGCTCCTGAACTTCCCTCTTTCTTTCCAAACCTCAGGTTCTGATGTGCCTTGAGCTGAGTTCTTCCACCTTTTATATATACATTGATCCATTTTGTAGGCTGGAGGTAGGGTCTCATTAACCTTCATCATTAATGCCCAATGGCTTCTGTTATTCCTCAATAGTCTATTGATTTCTAGCCTCTTTTTCTCAACCTTTTCCTCAAAGAGCCTTTGAGTTGCTTTACATTGTTTTTTAGAGAGCTTTTGTGCTCTAGAGAGCATGCACTCGCTGTAGAGACAGAGAAAGGCAGAGAGACAGAAAGCGAGAACTCACCGTCCAGGGGGGATGGCCATGCCACAATCTCTTCTCCTCTAGGGATCCTGGACACTCATGCACACATGCCCAACATGTTTTAAACCACCAGTCTGGGATTCAAACCATGGTCAACTATGTGGAAGTCCAGTGACGGAACCATTATGCCATCTGCTGGTCCTATGTTGCCTTACATTTTTATATCTAATTTAATACACTTTATATCTAATACATTTTATATGTAATTTAATAAATATTAGGTATTGGTATGTCTGGTGCTATTGTCATACACCTTTTGTCAGCCATTGTGGATCAAACTGTTCACCAGACACAAATCGATAGGAGATGAGACCACAGAAGAAGACACAACAAGCGTTGCACATCTGCTTACTTCAAGATAATGTGACTCACTGCTAACTGGCTGAAGTGTGTAGGGCAGACTGGCAAACTAGCCTTCCTCTGGCTGCGAGTGATATAGCTGTGCTCAGAGTACCAGGAAAATACTTATCAATAGTACACTATCATAAAGTGCTACATACATAAAGAATATCTGGAAAAATATTCAGATGCAAACATATATGCCATACTAATACTGGTCAAGTATTAGTAAGGTACATTAGCCTGCGTTGTTCAACTGTTATGGCCTACAAAGCCAAACTTCTCTGTAGTCTGTATTGTAGCTGTTACGTCTGCCTTCGAATGGACTTGGAACCAGTCCTTGATGGTTTGAAAAAAGATTTCACTTGAAACAGGGTTGCCTGCAAAGATAGTCTGACTTGTGGACTATTATCTGGTCTTGAAGAATTTTACCTCTGGGTAGCCTCAGAACTCTAATATGAGTTTGACATGGAACATAGCTTCTTACAAAAGTACATTGTGTGGGCTTTGTAGCAAAGATCTCCAAGGTCAAGTTCATGACTTTTGATGATTGTGCAGAATATTTCTCCCCATAGGGAGGATAACAGAGCAATTAGAAGATGCGCAATTTGAGTCCTATTGGGGTCATGGGTGAATTCCATTGATAATGGTTGTTTGCAGACAGAGGGCGATTGCTGAGCCTCACACCTTGCTGTGCCTAAATGTTTCATGCCCTGTGTGGAAGCCGGGAGAGATCTAAGGTCACGAGAACTCCCCGTCTCTTTTTTCACCATTTTCTCACAAATTGTCTGGACTCTCTCCATATTTAGTCTCAAACCATACATGATGATCCCTTAGGTCCTTAATTGATTGTTTCTTCCATTCATTTTCTTCTTTCAAATTTAAGCTCTTTCAGATCAGTGGAAATCAAGAAAAACACAGGTTTCACAAAATGCATGTATAACTCCACATGACAACATTACTTAAGAAAAATGGCCATCTACTTGTGTGGGTTTTTTAAGAAGAAATATTTAATTTTATTTATAAAAATGATAATAATAATTATTATTATTATTTAAATTTGCTATAGTGCTTGTATGCTCACCAGAGAGAGACAGAAAGAGAACAACAGAGAGAAAGTGGGAAAGTAAGCCACCAGGTCTAGACTCGAACCATGGTTGACCATGTGGGAGTCTAGCACCTTTAACTACCATACCCCCTGCTGGCCCTTATTTTTGTGTGTGTGTGTTTCAGAATTATTTTCTTTAACTTTATTTATTTATTTTAATTTGACCAGATAGGGACAGAGAGAGAGAAAGAGAAAGAGAGAGAGAGAGAAAGGGTACCAGGTCCAGACTTGAACCATGGTCAGCCATGTGGAGTCCAGCACTCCTAACCACCATGCCACCTACCCCAATTCATATGGTTTTTAATTGTCTTCTCTTTACTTAAGTATACCAACAAATGACCCTGAAACAACTGGACATCCACGTATCGATTAAAAAAAATACCCAAAGACTATTTTTACTTCTAGGTATTAACTATATACTTTTTACTTCTAGGTATTAACTCAGATGAATCATAGACCTACGTATAAATGTGAATCTGCAGCACTCCTAGAAGATAATGGAGAGAAAAATCTAGACAACCTTGGGGCTGGCAGTGACTTTAGAAAATACATCAAAAACATGATCCATGAAAGATAAAATTAAGAAGTTGGGCATCATTAAAATTTTGTTCTGTAAAATATATTGTTAAGAGAAAGAAAAGATAACCCACAAAAAAGGAAACTATTTGCAAAATATATATCTGATAGAGACTAGCAGGTGGCGTAGTAGTTAAGACTCTGGACTCCCACATAGTCGATCACTGTTGGAGTCCTGGACCTTGAGGCTTGCTTTCTCACTTTCCCTCTTTCTGTCTCTCTCTCTGACTCTCTCTTATGAGCACATGTGCCCTATGGCAAATTAAAAATAATAATATTACATTAATCTCTTATAAATATCTAATAGAGGACTGGTAGTCAAAATATACAAAAAAAGTTTTAACTCAACAATTATAAAACAAATAACCCATATTTAAAAAGGGCAAGAAATCTCAACAGACTCCACACCAAAAAAGATATACAAATTAAAAATAAGCATATGAAAAAATTTTCAACATCATTTATTGTTAGGGGATTACAAATTTAAATAATGTAACATCACCATGCACATTTCATAGTGACTGAAATCCCAAACATTGACAATACCGAATGCTAACAAGGCTATGGAGAAATAGAAACTCATTTATTTCTGGTATAAATTCAAAATGGTACAGCCACCTAGGAAGACAGTTTGGCAGTTTCTTAGAAAACTAACGCTAGTCTTACTATACGATCCAGCAGTCATTCTTCTCGGTAACTACCCAGATGATTCAAAACTTATGTCATCATAAAGACCTATACAGGATGTATGTAGCCACTTCGTTCTTAAATGACAAAAATTGGAAGCAACCAACAATGTTCTTCAACAGGTGAATGGAGAAACAAATTGTACAGAAGTATGGCTATGCCATTTTGTGATTTTAAAAAATGAGCTATTGAGTCAGAAAATGACATGGAGAAAACTTCAATGCCTACTGCTAAGTGGAAGAAGCCAACATAGAAAGACAACATTTTATATTATTCCAACTGTACGACATTGTGGAAAATTCTAATCTCTGCAAATGATAAAAAAAAAAAAAATCAGTGTTTGCCAGGGATTTGAAGATAGAGAGGGATGCATAGGTGAAACATGCGTTTTTTTAGGGGGAATAAAACTATATGATAGTGTAGTGAAGGACACATCCATTATACACTTATTAAAATCCATAGACAATGCAAAGAGTGAGTAATCAATGAAGCCTTACCCCGAGATAATCCAGATAACAAAGAAAGACTTCTTTTTAAAGAGAAATTTTTGCTACAGGGTGTGTGCACTCACCAGAAAGCTTGAGAAACAGAAAGCGAGAAATCACCCACTGGGATGGCCATGCCATAATCCTTTCTGCATCATTCTGCTATTCTCCTCTCAGGATTTGGGGAATGTATGCACACATGCTGGGTGTGAGTTTCAAGCCACTGGGTCTAGGACTTGAACTGTGGTAGACTATGTGAGGGTCCAACAATGTAATCATTACATCATCTGCTGGTCCCAGCAAGGAAGGATTTTTTAAAGTAACTTTTATAACTAATTCCATTAACTTAATTTTAAAATATACCAATAGAGAAGATAGTTTTGGGTTCCAGATGACCTATCAGAATGTTAGACCTCAAGACATTTAAATATCAAGAGGGTTAAAATGATAATTTTTTTAAATGATAAGAAATTAAATGTCTTTGACCACTAGTCTAAGAGCTATCATTAGGGTATTACAGAACTCTTCGTGGGAAGGAATAGAGATCATATTTTTATACTCCACTCTAACCAGCAAAAGGCTTTATAGTTGGGCTTGAGATTAGTTTCCTTCATGCTAGTGAATTGAATATAAAATATTAAAATCTTTTACTTTAGGCTGCTTAAGGTTAAAGATTAGAATGCGATGTCACAGAGGTCTTCAGTATCCCTTGTATACTTTCAGGGTTAAACATTCAAACCTAGTGCATTTTTCCCAAATTGCCTCCTATGTCATAAATCTTGCCCTGGATTCCAAAACAGGGACCATGGTACTGCTATGCTTGGCTTTAAAGAAACAGTGACTTTTGAGCTTGAAAAATCACTAAGTATCCCTAAGTCTTTTCTTGCTCAGGTGACTAACCAATTTTACCAGGTCTCTGGTCATAAAAATTCGTCATTGTCTCAACCTGCCTTTGTTATTTTGAAACTGATCATTTAGTTTTCATTACTCCTCAATAGGTAATAAAACTGATAATTTCGTTCTTTTATTTTCTGAGCAATAGCCCTATTCTGTCGTAGTCTGATAGTGATAAGAAAAGCTGAATACGCTGGGCGTGTGTGCGCACGTGCCCAAGATCCCGAGAGGAGAATGGAGGAGAAGGGATTGCAGCGTGGCCATCCCCCCTGGGGGGGTGATTTCTTGCTTTCTATCTCTCTGTCTCTCTCTGTCTTTCTGGTGAGCGCACGTGCCCTATAGCAAAAACCTCTCCAAAAAAAAAAAAAAAAAGCTGAATAAAATGTAAAGCTGCAGATATCAAAGTTAGAACAATGTTTAAAAAATATGCACTGTTGAATTATGTGTTAGTCTGAAATTAGTTATCCCAGACACGAGATCTCTAAATAACCAATGGACTTCCTCTTCGGAACAGAAATCAGGAAAATCTGATTCTTTCATACATTGCCCCCAGAAATTAATAATATTTCCAATGAATTCTTTTGTTCAAAATCTGAAGGATGTTTCCATTGAGAATGCAACCTTTGTGCAGCGTGGCCATCCCCCCTGGGGGGGTGATTTCTTGCTTTCTATCTCTCTGTCTCTCTCTGTCTTTCTGGTGAGCGCACGTGCCCTATAGCAAAAACCTCTCCAAAAAAAAAAAAAAAAAAGCTGAATAAAATGTAAAGCTGCAGATATCAAAGTTAGAACAATGTTTAAAAAATATGCACTGTTGAATTATGTGTTAGTCTGAAATTAGTTATCCCAGACACGAGATCTCTAAATAACCAATGGACTTCCTCTTCGGAACAGAAATCAGGAAAATCTGATTCTTTCATACATTGCCCCCAGAAATTAATAATATTTCCAATGAATTCTTTTGTTCAAAATCTGAAGGATGTTTCCATTGAGAATGCAACCTTTGATATTATTGTTATTCTTCACTTCAAATAGAATAATGCCTAAAGTTAAAAAAATAACCAGACCTGATTATGGATCTTGTTATTTGGCAAATAAATATAAGACTTAAGACAATGAATATATAGCTAGATACTTCTCTTGGTGAGCGAGATTACAGTTTAGTGTCTATATTGATTCATAGTTAGCCACTAACGTGAGATTGTTTTGCCCAAGTAGTAATATTTAATTTTTCCTTCTAAATTTAAAAAAAAAGATAAAGTGATACAAGAAACTTATTTTAAAGATATGTTTTTTTACAACCAGAATTTAAATTTCCTTAGCATGGGATTTAGTATAAGAATACCCACAGAACTGAGCCTAGCAGAGCTGTACTCAGTTACAACACTCATGCTACATGAGCAAGAAATAAATGTTTATTTTTGGAAATGACTGAGATATTGGGATGTTTGTTACTTGGCAATAGCTGACTTACACTAGGCCAGCTGGTGATGCGGTAGTTATGATAGCTGGAGCTCACATGGCTGACTTTGCAGTTCAAGTCCTGGAACCAGTGACTTGAAAACTATGCTGGGCACCCATGCATGCATGCCCAAAATCCTGAGTGGAGAATGGAGAAGAAATAGTATTGTGGTCATTCCCCTGGGGTTGTACTTTGTTACTTTTCCTCTCTCTCTCTTTTGCTTCCTTTCTCTGGCAAGTATATATACCTCAAAGCAAAATAAATAAATAAATAAATAGCATATACCTCAAAACAGAATAAATAAATAAATAAATGAATAAAATTTAGAACAGTGACTAGTATCAGAGGACACTGACAAAAATAAACCTTTTGTCCTTATCATGTTTCCTCCCTAGTAGACACATTGTTCAACAAAAACAGAACGTAAGTGAGGCTAGCCCCATAGCACCACAGTTAAAGAACTGTGTGAAGGAAGCCTGATCCTGCAAAGCCAACCATCATTTGAGTCCTGGCATCTGTGGCTTGCAAAACATGGCAGACATGTGCATGTATTTCCAGGATCCTGATGGGATGAAGAGATGAAAAAAAGTATTGCAATGTGACCCAGTCCTGTCAGTGTGCGCTTTTTCTTTTTCTCTGCTTTGTGCATGCATATGCCCTCTGACATTAATAAATAAATAAATAAAAATCTTAAAAAGCTATATAAGGGACAGACTTCCTCAAAAGTTTTGAGTTCCTTGACAACAAGGACTTAGAACCTTCCTCTTCATTTAAAATCCCCAGCATTTGGCATAGAGTAAGACATAATGAATGCTTGATGAATATTTATCTTTAGCTGCAAATTCAGTCTTTGCCCCCCAAATTATCTTTTTAACTCCCAATTCTCTCTTGCCCACCTATATATACCCTGAGCTCTCTTGACTTGTATTCTCTAAAATCTCACATTAATCCTCCATAAAACAGGCATGGGAGGTGCTGGCAGGAGGCATGGTGATTAAGGGTGGTGGACTCCCACATGACCAACTGTGATTCAAGTCCTGGACCTGGTGGCTTGCTTTCTCACTTTGTCTCTCTCTCTCTCTCTTGCTGTCCCTCTCTGGTCAAATTAAAATAAATAAATGAATAAATAAAGTTAAATTAAAAATAATTCTTTAAAAATTGGTGTGGGAAAAAAACTGCTATAGAGAAATATTAATAATACTATTACCAATAATAGTAGTATATATAAATTTAGTCTTGACTGTCTGACAAATGCTGGGCTAATTTGCTTTATTGTTTAAATCTCACAAACAGGGCCAGCCCTGTAGCCTAGTGTTAAGAGAGCCAGATCCCACAATGGCCATCTGCTGTTCAAATCCTGGCCTCAGGGTTTGGAAAAACATGTCAGGTGCATGTATGTGTGTATGTGCCCCATATGCCAACAGGATGGAGAAACGGAGGGTAAGGGATCATGGTGTGACCACAGCCCACTGGGGTTGCTTTCTCTCTTTCTCTCTCTGTCTTTCTGGCAAGTACATGTACCCTCTGGCAATTATAAAAGAAAG